CAAAGTGAGGGTGAGGGGTGGGGGGAGGCAGGCAGACAGACAGACTGACGGACGGACAGAGACCAGATTTATTATGCAGTCTGTTTTGGTGTGTACTCGTGGCTCTGTATAATATGTCCCTATATTGTGGTCTTTATGAAATAATTATTGTGTCGTAACAGAAAACGGAGACGTGGGCAGGGGACAATAAGGGAAAGAATACCCTGGGCCAATACGCCTGTATTATTCTTTTCTACAGGTAAGCAAACAGGTAAACAGAAACTCAGGTAGACATAAACGTTGCTAAAGTGTGTTTAGACTTGAAAATCATTTTAACAAAATGCAATATGCCATAAATATATATATATATATATATATAGGCCTATTATTAAAATTTACAGATATCCCAACAGTTAAGCCATATATAGACGTCCTGCGAGTTGCGCGCATAAAAGACCCCCTTTGGTGGTCCTAAAAATCGACAAAAGAGTATGCTTTGGCAGCCACCCAGGCAAATTTCAAAATCGTAAACACACACCAAAACAAAAACAAAAACAAAAACAAACGCAAAAAACTACGCCCGCGAATGCGTGCGTGCGTGCGTGCGTGCGTACGTGCGTGCGTGCGTGCGCGTGCACGCGCGCGCGCGCGTGTGTGTGTGTGTGTACAGTGTAAGCGCGTGGTTATGGCTTTAATTTGTTAAATCTTTAAGTAAAGACGAAATATTGGTGCTACAGGCACCAACGTGTCAGTTGAGCATTGTTATGGCACTTGAGTAATTGGACCGCAAATAAACAAATAAATAAATAAATAAATATGAAAAACTAGATAAACAAACAAAATTAGATAAATTTAAAAAAATAGTCCTGCTAAACTGTCAACAGTCACAGCAAAATAATTTATGAATCACTAACAATAGCATGACAAAAAAAACAACCCAACTCTTTTCAGTATATATAAAGAACCATGAAATAAGTTTACACAGGCCCTATTTCTGAAAGGCTAGAAAAAATAGAACAACTTTGTCTTTGAAGAAAATATAAACCTTTTTTCCCCTGCCATCAATTACCCCTGAGCTGAGGAAGACGCAATTTCTTGCAATTATATTCGTCGATCCTTCTCATTAATGTAATTATCAATGTGGGATGCAGATGTAGGATTTCTTTTCTTTCTCATTTATAGTTAGACGGAGATACATATTTATTCTTTTTTATGTACTCCTTGAAGGTTTGTACGGCTATTGCTATTATTATCCTTTGGCTCCCCTATTGTTTGTCCATCAAATGTGAACAGTTATGATAATCATGACAATATAGTAGTAGTAGTAGTAGTAGTAGTACTTACTACTACTACTACTACTACTACTACTACTACTACTACTACTACTACTACTA